CTGCGTAGTTTTTATGAGTAGTGACTGCAGGTGAGCCCTCAAAAACACCTGTCTTTCTCAGTTTCTCTTCCCTGAAGAGGTGATGAACTTGGTTTTTCTGGACAGCAAAGGACAGCAAAGTTCCACTCTTCATCGCTTGTTTGGAAGTGCGCAGTCAAAAGCAAATTAGCGACCTTCAATTTGACGGAAACGAGTTCAATGACAGAGTAAAAGCAATCAATGTGCTGTTGTTTTCCCATTATTTGAAGTGACGAATGGTCAGTTCAGCTGCATATTCCCATAAACGTTAAATTTACGATGAACACGGATATCCCATTTAATTATCCATTAGAATTGTCAGGAACAGTGACGATGGGAGAGTATTGATCGATATTTCTAGCTCACACGTGCGAGATCATTTGTTCGATGTGCGTGTGGTATATGATTTATCACTAGCCGATTGACGGTCGATAGTATTGATTCAAACTGGGTTCATTTAAACACTGCTTCTCCATAACATAGTTGCTAATGAACAAGCTCCGAAGTGTCCTAGTGATTTAATGCTATAATTACGTATCTTTTTTTGACGAAATAGTGAACCATTTTGCAAATTGCAACCCCAGTTCTAGGGGGGCAATTTACCAGACATGCGTATAGATATTCTCCGTGTATCCCTCCACATCAGCCACTAGACCAAATGCATGTGCACTGACGACACAGAAATCATACCGCACTTTGCTGATACCGTGATCCTAGAATATTCCAAAGTAGGATAAGCTGTAACATTTGGGCTTTTAGACTACTTCTGCTAAGACTCAGAACATAGCGCAAGGGATGTGGTCTCTTGAGGCACCCTGATTTCAAGTAAAACTTTACTGAAAATCTGTCACTGCACAATTTTTTATTGCCTATTTCATTTGTATCTCAATGATACTTGCATTTACTCTGCCTAATCACACAAGCGTGAGAAGCTATATTCAACTTGGGGACGTGAGAACTGGCCAACTGCTGCCGATCTGATCGTCTACGGATGCAACTGAGTCTGAATTTAAAACAACAATGTCAAATCGAGCTTTAAGCTAATCCAAACAAATTTGGCGCTACAAATTCCAACATAAAAAATGTCTTCCAGTTTTTTTTGCTCATCACAATGTACTAGTTTGTTAAAGACATTCGAAACTGTGAATGGAAGTCTTTTGTCTACGTCTGTGACGGATAGAGGGTAACTCAGAACGATTCGCAAAGAAATTGTAGGCAAAAAGACGTTATCAAAGTGATACACATGTAGTTAGGCCCTGCCGAGCTGTTTTTTCTTCACGAAGCAGCATCGCTGAAGGTCTGCATTCGTCGAAAAGTCTATTTTAGTGGTGAAATGAGATTTGAAAATTTAAATCGTTATTTCGTCCTCTGAGTAAGGAGTCGACAGTGTATGTCGCAACAGGGATGAAAAGCTATGCAGTGATTCCCGGTTTCTCAGCAAGTTAGGTTTTGGATCTACTCAAAAGCATTCACAAGGGGCATCGATCTGTTGTTTATACATTACAATAACAACTGGTGTTACCCAGAATCTAATCTTTCATTGATTTATTAGGAATAAATACTGGAGACTTACCAGCCATAATAAACGAGTAGAATGCAAAACTAAGTGAAGTGGTGTCTTTTCCAGCTTGCTCATTGTCTACAAGAGGTTTTCTTTTCCCAGTAAAACAGCCTTGATTGTCAAACGGCCATGCGCATCAAGAGATCATTAGTGCACCACGCGGATACGGGAAAATTTACACAGGGGATTCGCAGTGCCATCGTGGTATTACTCACCACGAGTTTCGTTTGTACTCCGAAAATCCTATATTGAATTTGGCTAACTCGACCGATGAAACTTACCTTACACCTTATGTAGCATGGATGAATGTGCTCAAACGAAGCTACCATTACGAATGCTTATCTCAGACCTCATCTAACCGGAGGTGATATCCCATTCCAAAATGAGAATGGGCTATAGTCGTAGCCCAAGACAGATTCCCAAAATCCCCATTGCAGACCAGTTCATCGTGCACGTTAGACCAGTCGAATTCACGAGTCCAACAAACACCTTACCATAGTTTTCTCCCTATTGGGAATCATCAGTGACACACCTTAAGAGAACATATGAGCAGAGGTCTCAGGAGCAAAAAAGCATTCGTTACCAGACAAACCAGTCAACATCGTAAATTTATGTCCCGAGCTCACCAATGAGGTGCTTTTTATAGTGGTCTGGTGCTAAGAAACAAGACAATTCATCAGCTGGATATAAATAGCAGTTAGAATTTTCAGCCATTATTCCGGAGTTTGTAAGTGTGCTTCCCCTATGTGCCATGTGAAATTTGTACATGTGGACAGAAATATATACTTTCTAGTCCGTATGGTATAACTGACAGGCGAGACGCTTGACTCCCGCTCCCAACTTCCCCACACTCTTGTTTCTGACCACATCTGGTCAAATAATTCTAGGAATGGGCTGGATGGAACATCATCTAATTTACCCCTTGATCACAGTCTACTCAGGAGAAAGACCGTTCCGTTGTTTCAGCCTCGTGAAGCTGAAAACAGAAACAGTGACCTAGGAAACTGCCACTCATTACAGGTCCGCCAGTGGGACCTGCCTATTCTGTTGCTGACGACCAAAGCCGTAAATATTTCAGTGACAAGTTAGCTGAAAACTCCACTGTTAATGTGGGTAGTTTAAGGGGAAAAAGGGCCGTATAACGCAGGTGAGTGTCACATGGTACAGGCGCCATTCAAGCTGAGGATTTTGACTATCCCATGAAGCGATGATGAATCAGATGTTTAATTTTAGGTTGGGTGTGTTCCTCAATGAGACCATTTGATCCGATTAGCGTACTGCTGCCCGTGTAACAACATGGGAAGCAAATCGCTGAGCGGATGACTGTTGTACATAACCTGTTCTGGTGGTTGACAGAAAATACCACTCACAAATTTGCTAAAACACCCCGACAACCCACGACTTATTTGGTCCTTCTTGGGGCCCACCAGGTTTCCATCATTCGTCTACTCTACTTACACACCAAACAGTACACAGCTACCGAGTTATATACATTTTCAAATACCTTTGTTGTTAACGAGAGAATCAGTTGATTCAACATTCAGGAGAAGAGTATTAAACACGACAGATCCAACTGAGTCTCCAGCTACCACAAATTCATTTGGAAAATGAGTGTATTTCGGTCTTTTACCCAGCGCTTTTTATGCAGCATGGGCTACAGCGATAAAAGTACCTTCTTTCCATTAGCTACAAGTTATGCAGTCATGAACACACCAAGCGAAAAGAAATGGCGAATTCATCTCGAACGCTCACAATCTGAATAGTTTTGGTTTACGCCATACATTTATCTTCTACAGTGTTCTCCAGTCCGAATAACGGGCATTTCTTCGGTAGAACTCTTTCCTGCCTCACAACTTATTTGAAAGGCACAAGACACCCATAAATACCACCTTTGAGCTAAGACCGCTTAGCAATACAACGCCTATTCCTTTTGGTAAGCAGAGCCTGAAGCCCCACAAACACTTCTTGTTTGTTGAAACGAGAGCAGCTCAAGATGAACTGATCGTTTTGTGAAGAATAACGTACAGTAGTTATGACTGACAGCTGGAGAATTCTCTTGGACATCCAAATCACGTGACGGGCAAAGTTCGTAGCTAAAAGTGACCTGCGAATAATGACCATTCGGTCTGTGTTTCACAGGTATACTTACTAACCGTTGATCAGGCAAAATTGAGGTGTAGTATACAAGGTCACATACTGTCATGTGCTCGTAGACTGAGCATCCACATGTCTGCTCACAAAACTCGAAGTTGAAGGTCATTCATAGACTCCCCACCAACAATTAGGTACGCGTTGAGCAACAAGTGTGAAATAAGCAGAAAGTGTTCTTCTAAGCTATATGAGCTAGGTGCTTCCGTCAACTGAAAAACAAAGCTATAGTGATCTCCAAGTCCATCCGTCCCAAGAACTACGTCAAAATTATGTTTTTAAAGTAGAGTAGGTTCTTTGTTCCTCTGCTGCTTCCATGCGATGTGGGGTTCCCGCTCTTTTCGACATTGAATTTGCTTTGCCGATAATTCTACAATGTAGCATAAATTTCAGAATAAAACCTAGCTCCCATATACTATATAACTTGTCCCACGATATATTCCTCCATTCCTGCTCAAAGAACAGGAGAACCAATATAATCAAATGATACGATATGTATTTGATAAAGTTTGCACCCCACCTCACTATTCTGAACTGAATTTACCATTTTCCGGATCAGCTATGAGGCGATTTGTATCTAAATCGCAGTTAAATCGTTCTCGGAGAAATGTGAGAATAGTTGAATATCACCCTGGGGCTATGTTCATGTGAACTGAGCTGCCTGGGTGTAGTTTCAAACCGTGGGAAATCTATCATATAAATTGAGCAAAAATTCACTCATGTATACCATTGTTCCTTTTGAATAGTTTTAATTTGAAAGATTGGTTCTGTATCGTGGTCGTACATCGTGCAGAGATATTGTCATCCTGAAAACGTCTAAAAATAATGAATCCTATACGAAAAGCGTGGTTTTGCGTAAGTAATTTGCTGTTTTTAAACTTTATTTAGCCAAAGGTAATTAAGCTTGTTCTGTTCTCTTGGTAGTCACGTTTATGAGACGTAGAAATGAGTGTACTATTACTATCATCCTCCCGCAATCACCGAAGGTAAAACGTGTCTCAAAAACGAGAAACGGGAATTCTCCAGAAATAGATAGATCCCTTACTTTTTGTGTTGTCAAAAGTGCTCCATCTAATTGCCATTACGAAACACTTGTTTTGGTAGTGTTTTTAGGCACCATCCCAAAGTCAACCCTAACGGACACTTGGATCAAATCATCCTCATTTCGACAAGTATTATTTGGTTACGGAGCTGTAGATTTCATTTACGAGGTACTGCGCACAGAAGGCTTATTTCAATCTCCTCATCTTGGTCGACTGAATAGGGTTGCTGAATGACTTTGGAAGAAAGACTTGTCCAGCAACCACTGGCGCATGTTCACTCCACTATCAAGGTTCTGGCAATGTGGGGGCTGATTGAATCTATCCCATGGACAACAGGAGATAGACATCATCGCTCGCGAACAACGTCTCTTGCTGTAAGGTTGCGCTCCCGTTTTCCGCCAACCTCTTCCAGTGAATCAGATCCCGTTGCACTTCTCGATCGTTCTATTCACCTATTCATCCTCATTCAACTACGCATGCATCTCGCTGTCAAACGCATATTGATCAATGAGAAATGTTACAGGTCCGCTTCTGCTTGGACAACGGAGCTGTCAGAGTCCAGAAATGACTACGCACATTTACGGGTTACACAACATTTTGCGAAAACTACAAAAAATTACAAACTTCAAGAATGGTGAGTGTTGGTGTCGAGACATATTGTCACAAACTGCAAAAAAGTAGCCACCACTTGGTCAATCCCCTCTGTTTCCATTGTAAACACCTTTCACTGACAGAGCCCACTCATAGTCATCAAGGAAGGCCACGATGCACCACGCAATAGGGCGTCAGCAGACGCTTGCAAGGGAATGTTTTGTACACAGCCAGTGAAGTCTCACTACGACTGACCAGCTGGTGCTACGTTCCCACATCGCTAACAGTGAATTTACAGTGATTAGAACAGATGCGAAAATTTTTTGACCCAAAAATTGAACAGTATATACATGAGATATTTAGAGATGAGTGGTAAGTTTTCAGGAGGCAACGTTGGGTGTTGTGCGAACGCTATGATCAAAGATGGTTGTCTGCTGAACGATCTTGTCATGGATAGTGCGATCAGTAGAAGAATCATTTCAGCGAAAAAAACGTCGGTGTATAGAGAACAGGTCTTCGGAATAATGTGACAACTACTCAGGATCGTTGTATAAGGATGGAATCAGTTAGTAAGTAAACTGATACGGCCATAAGTCTTCCGTGGGATTGGGTTGATCGGCAATTGTCACATCGATTGTTTACTGGTCGGTAAAGCTCACACAACATCCCAAATGATACTTACTGTTTATTTAAAAGGTAATAACGGCATGAGAAAGTTGAGTCCGCTCTCGAAGGCTGTCACGCTATCAGACAGAAGCCGTCTACTGAAATATACACCAAAATACCGGCTTCTCGTACAGTTATATCGTATATATATATATATATATGCAATAACACCGGATTCTCTAAGAACGGACACTTACTTGAGATGTACACTGTGTACCAAAGTCAACATTACACACATTGGTCATTCGGATCTTTGGTACCTCACATGTGTTGCAAGCACAGGTCCACTCCACAATGGAGCCGTAGTTTTAAGAAGCTATGTGAGTAATCACTGATCAGGAGTGACCGAGCGAATAAGGTAACGTACTGACATTTGGACAAGTTGGGTTCGAAGCTTATGTGAGAAGCTTTAAATTCGCTGACGACTCTGATCATAATGTTGCATACCCACACGATTTTAGAGAAACGTTTTTGGTACGAATGAATGACCAAAAGGCGCATCTTTATGCACAGAATAAATCAAAATTTCTTATGAAAGCCAGCCGAGACAATTTCTCGAAAGTGGCTTCTCACGACTTATTTCACTTTATCAGCCGTTGTCATACATGTACATCGGTTGTGAGCCCATCAGCACCAAAACCCCAACCAAAACCCTAAAATCTAAGGACTTTGAGAACACCTTTAACAAAATTGTTAGAGAGAACGGAAATTGTATCTTAATCAGAAGAACTATCATAAACATGGAGATCAGCACGCGTGAAACCACTAGAATAGGAAATATTCTGAACGAGAATCTGTTTGAAGTTAAGACTGTAGAAAAGTATAAAATTAATTTCAAAATGGTGAGTTTCTTCATCACAAACGCACATTCGGACTGGAAAACACATCCTGTGTTTCACCAGAATCAACATTACCAACGACGGCCAACTGAAACAATATACTATGACAGAATCACACAACAGTGTTACTTAGTTTGATTGCTTTCCAATGCGGATTGGACAGGACGGTATTCCGAAGCCTGCACAACACAGAACTGTGTTATGACAAAATCACACATGGGAACTTCACTCTGCGAGTGAAGCTAAAATAAGCTATAGTGCACAGAATCGCCGTGTTAGCTAAGCATAAAACAGAGTTGCGATTATCGTACAAATCACCTAAGTCTTCAATATGAGCATTCGTTACCCACGGAGCGAGTTCGGACACGTTGGTGAAAACTGATAGAATAGCATAAACGAGAGATTCAGTCTGTCGTGAAAACCAAATTGATTTGCAAATGAGTGTATTTCTCGAAAACAGTCCAATTTGGGTTCAAGTAGAACATAACATAAGGTGAAACTCGGGGAGTTCGCCTACCTGGAAGGGAAGGGCGAAACCGGTCGTGGGCTGTCGCAGAGTTTTCAGCAGCCCTGAGAGTAGTTTCTTTTATGAAAACTGATAGATGTTCACTTCTTCATAAGTTAGTCAAGCTGTTAATGTCAATCGCAGCTAAATGATAAGGGGACTAATTACAACCCAAAAGGTTAACATTTTTGGCCCTCCTCCCCCAGGCCTGAGACTGAATTTTGGAATAATTACTTCCGCTTCATTGACACTTCATACGCATAAAAATACGGATCGGTTGTATGGAGGATATTTTTTCACTTGGAGGATACAACAAAGGACGCCTGTGAGAACAGTACTTTCATCAAGGAATCCCAACCGAGGAACTATGGAATTTGTTTTCCCTCGACAAGCAGCTTTCAACCAATGCATCCAACTGATTGATACAATTTCGTTTACAAGATACCAAGATTTACAAGCCATTGCGTCGCATTTCACCGCTTGCTGTCTGTATGTAAAGCACCACAGGGTTTGAGACAGAACTCTTACGCTGGGGTTACTCGTTCCATGATTTACTCACGTTCCATATGATATCACAACTACTTTATGAAACGAACAATGAACCCAGACGTTCCATTAGATGTGGCAAAGTAAACAAACCATCCCTCTGTTCAACTTTTATTCTATGCGCAGATGCCCAAAGGCTATTGTGGGCTTGGTGTTCCAAAACACGCAGAACAAAAGACTATGTCCTCAACAACGGATGTGTATGCATCGGCGATCAGATGCCCAAGCAAATTAATGTGAATATGACTCTGGGAGACTTGAAATGTGAATCAATGTTCGCAAGGTCAATCTGGCCCGACGCATGTTCCGCAACTCCAAAAGATTTCAGTTCTGCTCTTCATATCCTCAAGGGTTAGGGTGTTAACATTAGAGGTGCATGTTCGCTTCAGTGGGGGTTCACTTCCTAAAAATGCTTCAAACAACCCCCCAGTAAGCCAAGTGGATTGAAGACAAATTGCCTCATTCATCTAGTCAACACACAGTTGGCAATAAGCCATATGGACGCGTTTCATGAGTAACCTCCAGTTTTATGCCACACAACTATGCTGATTACATGGATTTCAGTAAGCGCACAATCATGAACCGTAGCTCAAACAAGAGTTAAAAACATCTGGTCTGAGTGACAACCATATGTGAGTAAACATCAGTTGCTTTGTTTGTCACATTTATCAGCTTCCAGCTACTTGTCCTTTAAAACGAAGAACCGTGATATCTGATTCACACTGAATAACTGTACCTGTTAACCCTGGTATGTTCGACCGATATTGCTGACATGCTACCAAAGCTGTTTCAATCCATCCAAATGGAATCGGGAGTTTGGAGAGGACAAAAGAATGTGAATGACGCCGGGATGATTGTTTTTGCGGCAAACTGTCGATTGTAGGTGACAAGAAATTTGGATCCCGATTTGCCCCGAGAGCTATCCCAAAGAGGCTGATGACCGGTCAACGCGTCCCAGTAGTCCAGTTTATTGACCCCAAAACGAGCTCGTACAGCCTTAGACACGACTGGACAGTAGTCCTTGAACTTAAACCGACTGGGCATATTTCCTTTGTTGAATAAATGATTGTTAATCTTCACCGTCATATATGCCCTGAAATCGTCCTTCAAAAGCACTGCCCGGGGCTTAACATGGTCGCGGACTTTTGCAAATGCCCCCCCCGCAGCTAACCCACACCAGGTGAGTGTTCTAGTGATCCTAACTGGTGATGTAGAAAATGTTTCCGAGAACTGGGATGCCGTTTTGGAAACATGATTTTATCATCCTATAGCATGTACCACCACAATCGTTGATAAGCATAAAATGAGAGTGAGTTGTGGACTAGCATCAAGGAACTGTTTGGTAAAGATTAATGGAATGCGGGTTAACCATGAAAGTGACTTGCCGCCCCAGAGAAAAAAGAAACAAAACTTCAGTTAGTGGGTGACCGTAAGACAGAAAGCACCAAGGCACGACTAATCGACAGCATTACCGATGAATGCCGCGCTACCAGACAGACACGGATGGTGCGCAAAAGGATAGGTCTCAAGGCTGGATAATCGTAGGACTCTCTTTTTACTATTTTCAAAAATTTTAGCTGATGCCTGTTCAAACAGAAGGCAGCAGGCTTATTACTGTCAGTCGTAGTCTAGAAGCTAGCATGTTTCTTAAACAGTGACTTATTTTCTATAGAGGAAAATGTCGGTAGCTCAGGTAGCGTAGTAGGCCGTTGGCTTGTTCGCTGAGCTGGGCAATTTGATTGCAAACGTTTCATCACCAATCGAGGTGACATCATCAGTGCGTTATTGGGGAGCGTAGTGGTTAGAGGTGGTAGCACAACCACTAACCCCATGCTACGCACTGCTATGCTCCCCAATAACGCACTGATGATGTCGCCTAGATTGGTGATGAAACGTTGGCAATCAAATTGTCCAGCTCAGCGAACAAGCCAACGGCCAACAGTGACTTATTTCCAAACACTGCCTAAACTCGGCTCTGTGAGAGTGCACACCCACGTAGCAAACAGACACAATAATGTCCACCCATTTTAGGGACTGGTGAAGCTCATACTTATTTCCTGTGTAACATTTCAGCTTATCCTCATATTTTTCAGCTTGTGATAGATGCAGGTGCTCTTCTCTGTCAACCCCGGCTGAAATCTTCATCGAAACGGTTCATCGAATTACTCGGACTACTCCGTCAATTTTCAATAGCATGTTTATCGTAGATTATTGAGTCGTTACCAGACAGCTTTTCGTGATTTGAAGTAAAATCCAAGCACGCGTACTAGAAATGAGCGGATACGGGGTCATGGAAACTCGAACCCGAGATGTGCCGCTGACGGAACAGGTGATCCGCCAACTGGAGAATATCTTTTAAAGTATGATGATGGCAGCGCCAAAACAACCTCACTTCCGCATTGCTACTTTTTACCCAGTTTAGCTATTTGTGCACAGCGTCCGATTTATAACTCTTTTATGTATCGTATAAACCAAAAAAACCTCACATGTTTGGACTGGAATCTCGTGCTATCCTTAAGTACAGGAGGAGCGACCATAGTCATTTCCTCTCTAGAATGATACCTAGGGTTCCACGCTTCTGGAACTAATGAATTACACTCATGTGCAGCTGCATCCTCATCATCCGTACATCAACGGGCTACTTGTAAGCTAAGCAATGAAAAAAAACATTTCGCATACACTCGCTTCTGTCTAGGCACATTGAAAATTTGTCTGCATAATGGATTACTTACGTGGCTATTGTTGTGTACAGGATCACAGTTATGACTGCGAGTAAGAAACAAACGCCCAGGGTAACAAATATTATGTTCAGCACTCTTCTCAATCTTGGCAGCTGCAAGTCTTCCAGTTCCTCACCATCTTCGTCATCCCCGACTCGCTTATCTTCCAAAATGCGGATTAGTCTATCCAGCTTGCTATTCCTCCTTGGTCTTCGAAAGCGACGTCGTTTCTTTTCCTTCTCCACCACAGCCGTCTCCGCGCCGTCTGTAGGTGTCAGCTTGGACTCGTGAGTGATTCCATCTGGCTGGTCTTGATTTGCCAAGCCATGGCTGTTTGACTGCCCATTGTGTTTTCCTGCCGATTTTTCGGTCACCGGAACATAGTTGTATAGGGATAGATCTAGAACACCACTTGGCGACGCCAGCAAGTAACTACCGGGCTTCCCTGGGATTGACCTTGCTGAGTCTGTGGAAGCAACTTTTCCGATTGTTCCCAGTGGGGTTCCAACTCTTGAGCTTAGTCCCACGTTATTTCCAAGTTGTTGACCTGACTCGGCAATGCCCACAGTCAGACTGGCTTTGGCCGAAATAGGTGGAACGACTTGATTTCCCTTATAAGAGGCAGGGATGAAGAAAGCAGGAGGTTTCTTGTCTGCGGGGTGATTAGGTTTGCTGGCCATTGTGGAATGTGCTGAAATATTTAATGTCACAGTTGGGAACGTGAAGTCCCGTAGCTGGAATGAACACGGGATTCCTGCATTTCCTGCTCACTATTCTGAATCGATTTTGTCGATAAAGTGCTCAAAATGGACAGTAAACGGGAGTGGGAATAAGTTCCCCGCTGGGTTTCACGACCCGAATTCACGTGAACGGTACACCTGTCCTGGAAGGAGCGAGGCTCCGATTGGTCCATGGCCCACCAACCAATCACCACGTTGCTCACTCTGTCCTATGTAGACAAACGGTCATGGGAACGTTGATCGATCGTTTGCCCTCTGGCCGGACAATCATGCATTTGCCATCCATTATCTTGTTATTCAGTTGATCGACTCACCTTACGAGGACAGCTCGAAAGATAAATGACAATTATTTTCCGCTGAGGAGTGCAGGTTGGAAGGTATCTCAGACATACCTACAATTAAATGATGAAAGCAGAGCAGATGATCGGAAAGTAGCTGAGAGAGGATTTTATAGCAGCTTACTGAAACACGCTTTCGTCTTGCGCCCCACCAATCTGAGTAAACTATATTCCCCTATTACGTTAGAAGCACGTTTTGAGCATCAGTAACCCCAACTGAAGTACTGATCCAGCAGAGAGTGCATACAAAACTTTCTATTAGTCCTGAAATCAAGTATCGAATAAAGCTTCGCTTATCTCTTCCTGAGCACTGGTTTGCCTTCAGAATTATTTTCATCGCACGAGCTTTGGAGTCGGGCAATTCACCCAGCAGAATGACCATTTTGAGGTGACGCTATCTTCTCCTCATATAAATGTATGTTGCACGAAAACTGTTTGATAGGCTATTCGAAAAGTGTGAAAACACTATTCCTTGAAAGATATGTGGGGAACCTTTCTTTTGCTTAAGCTAGTTTGATTGCTGGCAAGCAGAGAACCGCAAGTTCATATTCTTACCCGGAAGAAACTAACAATTACAGGATTTCTGCAGGTTGACTTGTGACCGTCTGAAGAACTAGATTTTATTATAAAGACACCTTCTCAGCAAGGCACTAAGATGCCAAATAGATGAACAACTCCCTACAACTTTCATTTTCTTCGTGACGAACTAAAAAAACAGCTCCATATATTCACCCTGAGGGTGTTTCCCATCTCTGAATGTGTTCCTTAATGACTAAGCAAAAAAGAGTTTAAGTAACCTCATGAGTAGTACATTACAAATATATAAAAGATAATTAGACTTTGGTCGGTTCGGCAAGCTTGATATTCGGCTTGCAAAAATTCTTCACTGATGGAGGAGACATCATCAGTGCATGGCTGGGTATATTTCCCATGAAATTGCATGTCTGATGCCACGTCTGACCAGTGTGATGTGTAAGCTCTTCCAATCGTTCATGTGGCTTTTCTCCTGAGGGTGGAAAATCGACCGATTTGACGACATAGGATAAAGAGGCGGTTTGCTCACGTCCTTGTACATAGATAGCTTAGATGGACGATAGTGATTTGTTGTACACCCCCTTTTAAAGCTGCTCTTCGGCCACTTGCCGGAGCGAGCCGGCGTCTAAGTGCTTGGGGCTGCTATCGTCCAATCCGGTGTTGGTGACGTCTTAAAATATCCGTCGGTTTCCCCGACAGCTGGCTGGCTGTGTTGCTGAGCTTTGGATGGCAATTCTTCTGTTTAGCACCCAGCCATGTCCAATCTTGACTGTTACAAGCTTCTACTTCCAGTGCCTCCAGAATCCACACATTGCAGTGTTAGTTTGATGGGGCAGTCGTCTGCGCATCAGAAACTATCTGGATAACCTCCAGTGAATACCAAGTTAGTAGTTTTTCCTAGGGTGCTAAAAACATGTACTGCCAACAACCAGCTGTTCAAGGAATATGAAGTTTATGAGTCTGGCATCCTTGACACTGTGCTGGGCCAGTCCAAACAGGTCAGTTGTATGGCACGTGTCCTTGTTTCATACACCACCTAGAGCTTTTAAGTCAACTGCTACTATCAACACATCTTGCCTCGACGTAGTTTCAACCACTTTCTGTGAGCGCCCTTAGAACTCATCCTTCATAGGTGGGTCTGAAAGAGAAGTAGGGCTATCATAGTTCATTTTACATTGATTTAGAAGAAAAACAGTTCACTAAATTCTGGTGATCGAATCTCTGAAGAACTCATATATTCGCAAATCTGCCAGCTCAAACCCTGCAAATCTCATCATGTTGAACATCATCGGAGAATGGCGTACGTTTAGAACATCCCTTCTCATTTACAGTGAGTCAAAACAGTCACTCAAACTGCTGTCTGATTGCCCTCAGTGCATATTTCAGTGCAATACACTACCTACTACCATACACCAATACCTGTCTAATACTACGACTGCCGTGAAAATCAAACTAGCGCACATTTTGTCACAAAATCAGCTGCCGGGGTTCGAAAGCCGCCGTACAGTTCGTTTGGAAGGTATATAATAATTAGGCGAGTAACGACAGGTCAAAAACTGAAAGCGGCTACCAAACTGGTGTGCATTCCGTCAATTTTGTACAAGCTGGGTTCACGCAGAACAGAAGATTGACGAAAACTCTTGGACTGTGCCCAAATGATGAACCCTAAGAAGAGCAAAACCGGTAGTGGGCTGTCGAAGAGTTTTCCTTCAGGAAAACAACTACTGTGGTGCTTTGCCAACATTACAATGCAAAGCGTATGTCAGAAAAGGCTTTGAAAAATCTTTAAATTCCACATATTACCTGAATTGTAACTTTTCCTTCAGAAAACAACTACTGTGGTGCTTTGCCAACATTACAATGCAAAGCGTATGTCAGAAAAGGCTTTGAAAAATCTTTAAATTCCACATATTACCTGAATTGTAACTTAACCACTCGATGGATAGACTGCTAGGGGTTGACATGTCGATCGAATAAGGACCAACTAGTTGGAGTTTACTGTGGAAAGAAATTGCTGGTGTAGGCACTTTTTAGAACCTGGTTTCCAACTTAGAACTTGGTGTTTTATGATGCCGTGTGACTGGTTGAATGTGTCTAAGAATGTTGGTTATCCACCGGATGTCTGCAAAGAGTTGAAATAAATGATAGTTCTTATAACCCCGTCCGTGGGCAGTCGGATACTGGTAACACACTTAACTACTATTCAGTCACCATTTGGCTTTGCTAGATCTTACTGAACTTTACTGAACACGCATGAGCAAAGAGAATACAAATGCGGTTACGATACGTTTTTTGCACAGCTTCCACAACAATTTCTGCTCCTACAGAGTAAATACATCTCAATTAACACCGCGATTTTCTTTCTGGAACAACACCGAGCATTGCGTTTGGCCAGGTTCTCCACTATGTCGATCATTCGTCGATCAGTCAAACGGTCAACACTGAGTTTTTGACGGTTTCTGTTGAACTTCGTGGCTCGAGCCTAAACAGTCACGCTAACATTCGCACGTAATCATCACATGTTGGTGAACAGCAAATGGAAAATGCCAACCGAACAGTTACAGACTATTGGACAGGGAAGCAAAACTCTCCTATGTAACTTGTTTACAAAAACTGAATGTCCATCCTCTCTTTGAACGTGTCTCCCTGAACTTTTCCCGATATTCTTTGACTGTTGCTTAACTCCAAGCAAATGCTGCAAAGCGACTCCGCAAATTCTGTAATACATCTCACTTTTCAAGAGACGCAAATCGGATTTACAAGAAAACATACTACTCGCATGCATCCCATCAGTAGTATCACCGTTACCCTGGTAGCTTATGTGGCTTGAAGTTGAGTTGTCTAATATCGCTCTCTGACGGCGTAGGTAGGTGGACTGTTGTTTCGCAGCCGTTGTCTGCAGTAGGAATTTTAAAAAATTATACGCAAATCGTAATCCATGCTACATATTTCTTGCCATACCAACATTTTTGACTTTATGTGCGGTAACCTATTAGAATCAGGTGATCTGTCCGCGTCGACGGACTCAGCATGGCTAATTAACAGTGTAGGTGAATTCGCAGAAGCTTTTGGAACAGTGCACCTATAACTAGATGTATTATTTCTGACATGGTATCTTGTGATTGAGTGGGATTTCGCTGGTAAGAGTTTACATACCCAAAGCTTTTTTTTATTTTACTTTGACGTTCCAAAGCCTCGAGAACCCTTACATTTCGACTAGGGGGACTAGGGTAACACTTAAGCTTAGCTCCGAATTTACACCACACAATAACATTGTCTGTAAACTCTAAGGAGGACTTTTAAAAGTCTTTAATGGCGTGCTTTTTCCGCCTTTGACCTTCTCCACAAATGAACCCTGAATCCCTCGAATGATTAATCGCAACCCAGGTTGAACCCGTAAGGCTTAGATATCTTATTGGTTCCCTGATAAGTTTAAGTCAAATGGACTAGGGTGACCGTGCAAACGATCAGAAGGCAAAAACGAACCAATTAGTTTCATTTTGATGAAGGAAACTACTCACAAGTTTGCTGAAAACTCTTCGACAGCCCACGACCGGTTTCGCCCTTCCACTTTGGGCTCATCAGTTAGGTGCAGTCCCCGAGTTTCCGTCAACCTTATGTTCTACTTGAACCAGAGACTCAACTGAATCTCTCATTTTTGATATTTTTCAACTGAATGTACTGCACACAGACGACCTCATGTCTCAGTTGGCAACGGTTGATTGGTGGTAAACTTAACGCATTCGTATGCATTCTGTTGTCTTGTGTAACTTTTGTTGGTCGAGGTGTGAGGCCGAATTGATTTGAACATGAAACTAGCCAATCAGTTTTCATCATGGTCTCAAGGAAGCTACGGTACAGCCTAGTGGGAATAATCACGGTTGGATCTATACGAACGCAGCGTTTTTATTATTGTGCTTGAAGTCCCAGTAAACTCCCGGTCGGATGGGGGTAGTTTTTGGGTCAGATTGACGGAGAATAAAAATTATGATTTCCTCCCCCAACTGTTCATAAAAGATAGTGAGAGTATTGCGTTAACAAGTGAAATGACTTGTATGCCAGATAAAA